TACTAGTGTCGCTCTCTGGTGCTATGTTTCTAAACCTTCTTCGTCATACAACTAGACCTTTGATGTGATTTGATATCTTCTTTAATTCTCGAAACAAATGAACGAACATTTTTTTAAAAGGATCCGTACACAAAGAAAATTCTGTGGTTTAGACTGGGACGCGATTTTGGAATTCCTGAGGTTATAAACTCCGTCGTATACAACCATAATAATATTTGTTTTGTATAACCCACCGATGTAAATATACTAGTCTGTTAATGTTACACCCTTAATATGAGAGGCCTATTAAACTCGGCGGGTTATGATTTGCGCGAAGTGTATTTTTAACCACTCAGGTCCATTTTTGAACTCTTTCTGATTGAGATAAGTATCACCATTTTCTTATTCTATGATATGTGTGTACGCATACTTTTGCAGAGTTAACTTGAAAATAAAAACATTATTGTATCGTATAAATTAATATAACATTGTTATTTCTCAGTAATGTGTTTGTTCTTTGTTTTTTTATTCGATTCAAATCCAAAACAGTGGGATTGTGAATCTTGGGTTTTTTGTATATCAATGGTCAAAATACACATTGGACAAAAATATATCGACTATTTTTTGTGAACGTTTTCGGAGGGCAGCCTTCCTTTCGGTTTCTACGAATACGTATTTTTATTCAGAGTTCGGTTCGCTCCCATACCTTTCCCTTAGTTGCTGCGTGCTTTCACCAAATAGCTATCTGTAGCATAGCGTAAGAAGTAAATAAGAATTATTGTTATATATTTTTTATTACAGTACATTACAAAGACTGCCGTGTGGTCCTGAAATAGAATGAGCCATCCATTTCTTTCCCATGGGTGATGTAAGAGGCGATTAAGAGAACTTCATTGTCGAGAGATAGGCAGCAGTGTTCTTCTTAAAACATCATCTAAAACCTAACTGCGGTTGTCGACTCGCTTGCCAATCATGGCAACTACCGGCAGAACTCCTTATAGGGAAGAAGTATGTTTAGAAGTAGACAGTTAATGGCTGATATAATAATAATAATATTATCCCTACTAGTCTGGAACAACATCTCAGACGGTTGGGATTCCGAGGCGGCTCACTCCCGGGAAAGATGCAGGAAGCGGTACTCTTAGATTCTGCTCGCATTGTACGCCTGTTTCTCACCCTGGGGCCCTGAACCCCGGCCGACTGTGCTTCTGCCGGGGGTTAGTTTGCCGTCTCCTCTCCTTAAGAGGAGAGATGAGAATTTTTGTATAATAATAGAAAACAAAGAATAAGGCAATTATAATTTGATTTAATAGAATTTAATGAAAAATTAACCGAGTTCTGTAGATTTTTCATAGATACACTCCATAAATTATGATTTAATTTAAATTTAATTAATAATATATATTTTTTTTATTTAAGTAAATTGAATTTCAAACATTTTTGAATGAATAATTATTTATGATTCTACCGTTCGGAATATAATTTCAGACGAGAAGAACAAGCAAAAAACTCAACTGTTATTAGGCTAAAAAAAATTTAAAGCTATTAATAACTATATTTTATAACTATATTTAAAAATTTAAATTATTAGTCAAATCAAGTCCTTTTACTGTTAATATTGTATTGAATTATATATCAAATATATATTAAACTTAATCCGTAATATAAAAAAAAATATCCCATACATTTGTTATTTATATTAATTTACTTGTTTATATATGTAAATTTTAGTATTTATATATATCAATTATTACTAGTACCGTATTTAAGTATTCTGACACTTCCCTAAGGTTTAATGAGAGAGAATGCTTAGCAATAATGCCGCCTTTTGTATTATTTCTCATTAAAATTAACTGTAATTACTATTTTATAAATGGTGCATTAAAGTGTAAAATAAATAAATAGATTAATGCTTTTAGTATTATGTTCACCTTGTACACGTACTAAACTTTAGTAATAAATAAATAAATGACAAATTAGAGCTAGGCTCATTTGTTTTGAAAGGAATCGTTTAGTATTTAATTACCTTTATTTAATAACATTTTTCATAAATGGACACACACACACACACACACACACACACACACACACACACACACACACACACAAAGAGATAAAAGAATACACATACGAAGAAAAAAGAAAAATACCTAAAAGAAGTAATTTAATTTTTCTTTTCATACATATGCCATAGCAACATAAAATGATCACAGCTCAGTTTATTGCATATTTATTTAAATCTTGTCAAAATATAATTATAAAAATGACATTACAAAATTCGTAAAGTAATAAGGATGTAATTTACGCCTCGCCGCAAGAAAATCTGTGATTTTTATTATGATGCAATTATTATGAGACCAACATGGAAGTAAAATCCAATGATTGCAAAAAGCATAATCAGCGTCATTATTATAAGCAACAGCCATTTTAAGAGGTTAAGTCATTCTTAAGAATCGGTTTGTAAATCCCAATACTTGGTGCTCCAACATCCTTTCCTAATTCCTTTATCCATTCATAATAATATATTCCCATTAATTTATTAACAACTCCAATTCAAATTTTCGCGCCGACCGGCGACCTCTGTGTTTGAATGTTAAACGAAAAATATCATTATGGCGGTCGCTAGTACCCTTTTTTTTTTATACAGTTTAGAATGGCAAACAAGCTGACGGCCAACCTGATGTAAAGTGGCAACCGTCGCCTATAGACATGAGCAGTACCATGGATATAACAGAGTATACTGTTTCGCCCATGATACCCCCCATGCGTTGCCATTCCTGAGGACTCATGTGTTATTCCTCTGTACCCAGTAAATTCACGCCATATCCATAGCCTGACCTTGTGTCGCTCATACTCTAAGTGAAAAAAGACTAGAAAATTTATGGAAATTCGCGTGCCTTTTACATGCTAATTGTGAATCTAACCAGTGTTGGTGTGTGGAAATGGTGTCAAAGCCATAGCGTGCACCCAAGGTGTTCAACTACTCAGCAAGTTAACCTGGTCGGTGAGTCCTACTTTCTCTTTTCTATATCTTTCAATGCATGCTCTTCTGATGGATTCTAAGGATTCCTAATATGTTTTCTAGGCAGGTGAATAAAATCCCATAACTTTGCTCTGAAGTTTATCGTCATAATCTACCACTTTTTTTTATACTACTTAGATTGGCAAACAAGCTGACGGCCCACCTGATGGAAAGTGGTAACCGTTGCCTATAGTCATAAGCAGTACCATGGACATAACAGAGTATACTGTTTCGTCCATAATACCCCCCATGCGTTGCCATTCCTGAGGACTCAGGTATTATTCCTCTGTATCCAGTAAATTCACGCCATATCCCACCCTTCGAACCGAAACACAGCCATGCAAACACAACTGCTTCACGGTAGAAACACGAATGGGACAGAGGTACCCAAGCAATCGACTTTTGTACAAAGTCTTCCTCTTGGACTTTTTCTAATTACATGAGGAAATGTGTTCCATACTCTAATTGCATTACAAAATACTCTGAATACGCTTGACCAGAACGAGTTCCCCATCTCAAATGATGCATTTGTATCAAATGACATGACGTTTAGTTAGGCTGAGAAACAACGTACAAACACGTTTTCACAGGTGGAAAAGGGATTGTTAGCAATGGAGTTTGACAGCCCCATTGCTAGCAATATGCCCTATTAGGTCGACCTCCACATGGTTCCACATGGTCCCACTGGAAACCATCGTGAACATAACTTGTCGAATGATGGGGTAATAGACCTTGTTCAAAATTAACCTTTTTATATACTTTGACATTGTAGTTGTTTATAAAAAAGAAAATTGATAAAACAATTGAAATAGAACAAAAAAATACATACAATACTTCAAGTCAACAGACGGCAATTTTTACTTACAAATAATATAATTAATAAATAATATATACAAAACAAGAACTAGCATATTTTACAAACATAATTACTGGTCCTTCGAGCCGGAGTTTCATTCTTACTTTCCATCCTTCACTGGTGCCCCGCCGGTGTACGAGTATACCGATACCATTCCATTATCACCCATTAAAAAAGAAAAAGAAACAACACATTTTCACATTTATAATATTAGTAACAAGACGGTTAAATGAGTAGTAATAGATAGATATACAGACATTACTACTAGTCTTTCGCCCCGGCTTCGCTCGGTACATTGTTTTTAAGTATCTCTAAAGGTTGCCGTGTAGTCTCGAAATAGAACGGCCACCCCTTTTACCGTAGATGCCATAAGGGGCGACTAAGAGAAAATAAATGATCGAAGGATGGACAGTAACATCCCTCTTAAAATATCACCATAAACCTATCTAAGGTTGCCAATCCGACTGCCAAACGTGACAAATACTAGCAAAACTTCTTAAGGAAAGGCCTGTGTTCTCCACTGCTGAATACTCTCCTTGAGATGTTTTGCCAGTAGTTGCCACAATTGACAAAAGTTGATATCTGATATGATAATGTATAAGTTTAATTAGGATGTAATGCAAACTTTCCCAAAAAAAATATAAATGGTTGTGAAACTCGTATTAAAATACGTTGCAGGGTTTAAAAGAAGTAAACAGACAAACAAACAGATGCTGACAGACAATTTTTTTATACCAATCAGAGATCAGAGTCAGTTGTAATCTTTTAAAAGTTGCTTAAATACATTGCACCTAGGGAACCCTAATAATGTATTTCTGAAACAATTTGAACATATTTATTAAGAAAAAAAATCCTATTCCATTTTCCAAAAAACATTCATAGAGTAATAAATTTTTTAACAAAGAACCGTGCAGCGTCATATGTACGTTTACAGCTATGTCCTTTGCCATAATATGGAAATGCAAATATTGTGGGCCAAGGACGTGTCCAACGAATAAAGTTGAAAATAAGGTAGTTATTCAATAAAAATCTAGACCAACCCTGGAATTCACCTTAGCACAGTACATTGACGAGTTGGTATGTTATTTTCTACTGCGAAACGCTGTGTAGCAGCGATTTAGTTCTATGTCGATTACCGCCCGCGTTGCATGTCTACGCAGAGTGATACGGAACGCGGAGTTCGAATTTCGAAAAAGTTTCTCGCCCCCGAAAATAATTCTGTGAACCTTGTTCGTTTCTAAAACAGTGTTCCATTTTCAAATCATATATTTAAAAGTTGACAGTACACACTTTTTATTTTATTTTTCCTTTTTTTTTTATTTAATATAATATACAAAGTGGTAAAACTTTATGCCAGGATCTTTGTGTGGATGATTGAGAAACAACAATTCTAAGTGTGTGTGTGTTGAAATTGTTGTGTTTACAGTTAATTAAGAAATAGTTGAACAAGTGCCAGTACTAATCGTAAGTAGAAAAATAATAACAATGTAAGGACGTGACCAAACCGATTATAGATTTATGACTATTTCGAAACGCTCCCACGTGCTGCTCACATTCTGATTGCAATAGTAATGTAATATTAAAATTTATCTTTAAGAGGAAATTTCAATTTGTGTCTTTTTTATTTTTAGGAAGTAATCCAAAAGCAATTTATTACAGTATTTGTATTTATATCTATAGAGCCATAACACTGCAATTTATCTATTGAATAAACTCTATTAAATACGAACTTTGACGAAATATACGGTTTTTATTGTAATTTATTTAATTTTCGATAAATATATAACCATAATATTTTCAAATAATATATTCTAAATATTTTTTTATTTAGTTTTAATATGTTTATATTAGTGCATTATGAAGGATTACAGGGAATTTGCACGAAGGCCGAAAACAAAGAAAAAAATAAAAAATATTTTTTTCTAAACTGAAAAATCATTAACATTATAATTATAAGCTGGTATTTTTTTTTTTATTAAATGTATATTTTAGAACTACTTAATTAGGCTCCATGGAGACTTTTATTTATTAAAAAAATACAAAAAAAAAATGTTAACATCAAAAGTCTTCACTTAAATGATTCTTTAATTATTATATTCACAGCAGAATTATGTCTGTTAACTACAAAAAAACACATCGAAAACGGTACAAAACTGACGAAAATATTGCTCAATACACAGTATATAAAACAAAAAGAGTCAAACAGTGAAATTAGGAAACTCCTCCTTTGTTTCTTTTTTTATACAACTTAGAATGGCAAACAAGCTGACGGCCCACCTGATGGAAAGTGGTAACCATCGCCAATAGACATGAGCAGTACCATGGACATAACAGAGTATACTGTTTCGCCCATGATACCCCCCATGCATTGCCATTCCTGAGGACTCAGATGTTATTCCTCTGTACCCAGTAAATTAAGGCCATATCCCACCCTTCAAACCGAAACACAGCCATGCAAACACAACTGCTTCACGGTTGAAACACGAATGGGACAGAGGTACCCAAGCAATCGACTTTTGTACAAAGTCTCCTTCTGGGAATGTAAGGACTTTCAAATGGAACTCATTAGCGGAGTGCTAATGAGTTATTATGACATCGTATATACATTCTTGTAGCTATAAATAATTCTAATTAAATCAACTTCTAAATAAAGAAGCACGGTTTTGCTTCCAAAAATGAAAAAAAAATACTGTTACTTCTTATATAGCTATTAAAAAAATATATTTTTAAATTTAGTATTATTTTTGCTCTATATACGTAACTGCTTTATATATAATACCTATATATAAAACCTTATAGTTACTTTCTCCTTTCGGGTTCTCACAGTTGACTGAAAGGAATCCCCTTAAGGGATAAGTCCGCCTGTGTACATTTTTGTTATAACCCAATATCTATACTATAAGTGAATGTATAAAAGCATATAAATAAATAAATAAAATAAATATTTCAGACGTAAAATCTTAAATATTTATAAAATAATAATAATCTAATAGTATAAATGAGAAACTGAGAAATTACTAATGTTATTAACATATTTTTTTTAAGCAACTTAGCTAATGGCAAACAAGCTGACGGCTCACCTGATGGAAAGTGGTAACCGTCGCCTAAATTTCATTTCATTCACATGCTGTTTTGTTGGAAGAAACAGCAGGCGGTTGAGAGTTAAACCAGCTCCACAACACACTGGCTTCTGTGTAGAAATGGACCATCCATTATAGACATGAGCAGTACCATGGACATAACAGAGTATACTGTTTTGTCCATAACACCCCCTCATGCGTTGCCATTCCTAAGGACTCAGGTGTTATTCCTCTGTACCCAGTAAATTCACGCCATATCCCACCCTTCAAACCGAAACACGGCCATGCAAACACAACTGCTTCACGGTTTAAACACGAATGGAACAAAGGTACCCAAGCAAACGACTTTTGTACAAAGTCTCTCTCTGATAAATAAAATAATAAATAATTTAATGTAGATTATGTTCCACAAAAAAATTTACTTGAATTATAACAAAACAAGTTATTTCGATTTAAAAACTATACTACTAAACTTATTTTGATAAAATCACTTTGAGACCAATCTGTAAGTATATACTTTGAGATAAAAAAGAATTCCCAAATCGGTTTACAACTAATGGTAAGCGATTACCGTAGCTTATAAACGTCTGCAATACCAGGGACATTTCATAAGCACAACGACCCAAATGAGAGGCTAAGCGCGGAAAAGAGAGTCCAATTTACATTACATTACATTAATTCACTCTTACGCCACCTGCCCACTTCTATCTGTTCGCCTTTAACCAAAGGTTGTCTGTAAGAGATTGCCCTAGCGATAAGACCGCCTTTTGTACCTTTATGTGTATATTTCAATCTGTATTTATGTTACTGTATTTCACTTGAATTATTCACTTGTCATTGTATATTTTTATTTATGGTGTAATAAAATGTTTGATAAATAAATTACATTACCATTACGTGCACGTTGTCGACCCTGAAGAAACCTCTTTACCTGGCGGAAAAGGGTTATTAGTAATGGGGTTCGACAGCCCCATTGCTAGCAATAATTAGATCGCACTCCATGCGATTCCCCTTGGAAACCATTGTGGTTAAATATTGTTAAATTTATCACGATGGGCCAACTCACATGTTTTCACTGGTGCCCCGCCAGCGTATACTTATAACGGCGGTGTACCCATTCCATTATCATTCATTAAAAAACCTCTTCACCCCTTTTCCACTAGTACTGCTACTTTTTATCCCGGATAACAAATATATCCCGGTCATACGGATGAAGTCATGGATATAAGTTAGTAACAGAATAACTGAGAACGTCTTGCTTTTCGAAGTTGCTTTATAATTATAAACGTTGGTTTCAACATACGTACGAGTATACCACACCATAAAAACTCATTAACGCTCCGTTAATGAGTCATAGCGTAGTATATAAATATACATATTTATATTTAAAAACAATTATAATTAAACATGCTTCTAAATAAACGAGATCATTTATGTTTTTACAAAGAAAGTTACACAAAAAATTACAACAACACAAAGAGCTATGGAAAGAAGTATGTTAGGATTAAGAAAAATACATAAAATTAAAAATGAAAAAATCAGGCAAAAACTAAATTAACAGATGCTCTACGTATAAAATGGCAATGGGCTGAGGGCCTACCATGAAATGTTTTCCGAAATTTCGGAACCAAACGAAACACAAATTTGATGTTAAAATTACATAATACATGCCGTTTGGAAATATTAAAAATGTTAAAATATTGTTCCTTTGGACTTTTATGATAGGATGTATGACGAACGAAATGTTAAACTTCATTTAATGGTCCAATTTTGGTATAAATAAAAACACGAAATTGGGTCCGAAATTTCGGAATTTCATTTCAAGGCTGGTCACATCTCACGATTTACTGATAATAGAAGGACGTTTCAAAGTACGAAATGGACAGGACCACGAGGTAAGAGAAACGTTGGTAGACCAACAAGACGGTGGACTGATACCAGAATATACAGGAAAAGACTGGTTTATGATAAGCAGAAACACAGAGTTGTGGAAAAAGATGGAGGAGGCCTTCACCCAAAGAGGGCTCCATATTCAAGAATCAAAGAAAGAATTACACTAACAATTAGTTATTAAGAAAAATTATAAATAGATTAGATACTAACAATACTGTAAATATATTAGGAATATGGAAATAAATAAAAGGCTGTGTTATTATTTATGTTTTTAAAGAAAAAAGAGCAACAACTTCAAACATAATAAAACAAGGATATAAACGACGAAATGTTTGATAGACATATTAGAATTAAATTTATTTTCGAAATGTAATTTAATTTCAGTAAATATATTGTAGCATATAGAGAGATTTAATTAACATAATTTGCAAAAAGCTTTCGCATTCAGCCAGTTGAAAATATTCGTATTTAGAACGCGGAATCGAATACAAATAGAATTTATTAAACATTTATTATTATTTTTTAAATTTCACTAAAATTCTCATCTCCCCTCTTAAGGAGAGGAGATGGCAACTAACCCCCGGCAGAAGCACAGTCGGCCGGGGTTCAGGCCCCAGGGAGAGAAACCGGCGTACAATGCGGGCAGAATCTAAGAGCACCGCTTTCTGCATCTTTCCCGGGAGTGAGCCGCCTCGGAATCCCAACCGTCTGAGATGTTGTTCCAGACTGGTTGGGATAAGACCGTTCACCGACATAACGATTGGGATGATTTCGGTAGATGTCACCCCCACATTTCGGTCACCTCGTGAGCCAGGTCGAGATATTTTCTCTTCTTCTCGGTTTCGGCTTTCACGAGGTTCTCGTCATGCGGTATGGTGACATCCACCAAAAACACCCTCGAGAGTGCCCGATCCATCACCACGATATCAGGTTTGTTCGCAAGAACGGTTCTGTCCGTGATGATGGATCGGTCCCAGTAGAGCCTTACGCTGTCGCTTTCGAGGACCGGCTGGGGCTCGTACTTATAGTACGGCAACCTCTCATTCGCGAGGCCGTACTTCAGAGCTAGCTCTTGATGGAGTATTTTGGCTACCTGGTTGTGTCTGTGCAAGTACTCAGTGTTGGCAAGAGCTGAACAACCCGAAAGCACATGTCTGAGTGACTCTCCGGGATGGCGACATGCCCGACAGATGTCCTCAGTGCCATCCTTCAGAATGTGCTTTCGGTAATTGTTCGTCTTAACCACCTGATCCTGTATTGCACAGACAAAACCCTCGGTCTCTCCGAAGAGATCACCGAACTGTAGCCAGTGCACGGAGGTCTTCGTGTTTACGTACGGCCCGTGAAGGGCTTTGAAGAACCTTCCGTGCAACTCCTTCTCTTTCCATACGGCCTCCCGCTGAGAGGTACCCAAAACTTCGGGTTTTAGTCCTCTTTAGCCAGAGAAAGAGGGGTGAATCCTTTGTCGCATTCTATGACCTCTCTATGCAA